AAAATTAGGACATCAAAGAAGGGAAGGCAACAAATTTATAACCTTCTATTCAATAAGCAAAATATAAGATTCAACTAACAAGAAAGTTGCATTTGTCATATCTTCTTCTTATACAAGTTAGTTGCCATCTATCTAGTTGAAAGAGTCCCTTCGCTTCTTTCGGGAGCTATTGAAGGTATCATTTCCACTTGATGAAGCTAATTTGGCTAGGAAGTCAGCCACCTGGTTGGCTTCTCTATAGCAATGTGAGATGCTCACTTCTACCCCTTCCATAGGCATTTGACAGTTCATTTGATAATGTTTTTCAGCTTCACATTGTTGGTGTCTTTTTCTTCGAGCATATTTGTAACCACCATTGAGTCCAACTCCAGATCGTATACAGCTCGATTACACCATTCCGTTGCATAGAGTGCTACTATTGCTTTTACCTGATTGTTGCTTTTACATTTGAGTTAGGACTGAGAAAGCCATAATGAGATGACCAGTGTCATCTCTGAGAACCCCTCCAATGCCAGCCTGGAAATACTTTCTTGCATATAGCTTCCATCTGTGTTGAACTTGATTCTTCCGGTCACAGGCTTGGTCCAAACAACTTGCCTCCATCTTACAATAGGTCTGTACCTTTTACCATAGACTTCCATTTAAAGAAAATGAGCAAATTATAGCTGCTTCAGATTAGAAACACTAAACCAGCTATACGAGTTGATGATAAGTCTAAACTTTCCCTGCATAAATGCACCTATTCAAAACAAAAAAAGTGTATTTTTTACTGATAACAGAACTATCTAGCCACTCGAGTTCAGCAAGAAGACCATATTTGACGTGAAGCTTCTACATTAAAAAACAAGACCAACTTCGTGACTGAACTATGACTACTAAGGCCATGAATACGTATCTTTTCCTGATTAATGTGCAGCATCGCTTCAATGACAAATGTAACATCTCCCAATGCAGTTACCGTCGATTATATGAGCTCCCCTATTCACTATAGTCCAGATTTTGTTTGAGTATTATGCTTATGCTGTATAATTTCTGACCCAGAAGTCAATAATATATGTTATAATCTATTCAACTAATTAGACACAAGAATGCTACTGTTGACGGAAGGAGCTAAATCTCTTGTGTAACCAGACTGCACTGATATGTTGCAAGAGTAATTTGACAGTGTATTCAACATGTGTAGGGTCCATTAGCAGCTTGTGGGATGAGTTTGCAAATTGGAGGGGTTTGGGTGGTTATGAAAGTCCAGCTCTGGAGTACTACGGAAATGCAGGACCGGTGGCGCAAGTCAGTGAATCAGGGGAAGATTCTTCTAGGAGAGCCACAAGAAGAGTCCCAGTGGAGTAGAGGGAGGCTTCCTTTGATGATGAAATTAGTGGTACTACTTATATCCTACCTGTATAGCCTACTTGCATGTTTTGACCTGTTTTATTATCAGAGTTTAGTGTCTGTTGTCGGTTCGCATTGAGCATGATTCAGTAAGACTGTTAAACTGGATTTGATCAAGAAGAGAAATGTACTGTGTGAGTGATCTACATATCTATTCTAATTATCAACGAATTCTGCGAATTTTAGGGATTCTTTTGGCGTTGTTTTCATTTTTCCTGATACTTACTAGTAGAAATTTATTACATTAATTGTTAAGTAAATATAAAAGATAATATGTGTAAACATGGACACCAAACACAAAGGCTAAGTTCGATTAATTACATAGAAAAATGCAAAACCAGCTGAGAACTAATTAGAAAGAATTAAAGAGGGGTGGCTCTGCTTATCGATGTGTTTGTGTATATTTAGAAGATTTAAATCAGCCAAAGATAAAATAATATAAATATAAAATTATATCATTCATTGAATTTGTGATTGCTTTTTGACAAATGATAATGAAGTGGCTGAACCTTGCCACTTTCCATATTCATTGGATAATAAATACAGCTATCTCATAGCAATAATGATACTATTTTATAGCGTGATTCTATTCTTGTACTTAATGTAGATTATATATATTTAGTGTATCATATAAAATGGTACTTTAAGCTTAGACAATACGTAATTAGTCAAAGCAGAATATTATGAATTGCAGTCTTCACCTAATTACAAAATTCAACGAGAATTAATTTAGTATAAATTAATATCAATCAAATAGAACTTAATACGGAAAAATAATATAAAAGACGAACTGTTTTTTCAAATTTTGAATGTTCAAACAAGCGGTTAGTAAAGTTTGGGGAAACCAGGTTTTGGTCAAAGATTCCAAAAGTGATTTTAGAAGTTTAGATTAGGAATTCAATTATAATTTATCTTTTGGTGTAATAGTTAAGTTGTATTGTGAATATAAATTAATCGAGTCAGATAATTTTGAATATTGGATTGTGAAGAAAAAAAAAGAATGACAGGATCCAAGCAGGTAGGGTTGTGCATACAATAACGTAGACATTTGATTAACTTGTCTGAGAAAAATTAGTAGAAAATTAAAATATGAGGATTGTTTTTCCCTTAGGTTGCAGCAAAATATAGTATGATTCACTTGGAACAAATTACATAACATTACAGCTAAAACTACACGTGAGAGTACGTACCTCGAGAATTTTAGTTTTGAGTTGTCCGTTGAGAAATAATCAATTGATTATCATACTTCCAAAATTTAGTTTTAAGTGAATGAAAGTTGTAATTTATAGCAGTAAAATTTCTTCTGTTATTATCATGCAGAAAGTTGATATTAAAGAATTATTAAGAGTCATTTCTTTAAACAAAAAGACTATATTAGAAAATGGATTAAATTTATCCACACTGCGTGTTTACATCAAACTAACTGTCATGTGTTTATATTAATAGTTTATTTTATTTAATCGTAATTAATTTATATGTGTTTAATTCATCAAATCATGTATTGCATTGACTTAGTGTGAACATCTAATGCGGATAAATTTCTCCTTTAAAAATAAACACTGAAATTCTAGAACATTTCTGCATTAGGTTCCCACAGAGTTGAGAACTTTGGTTAATCAATTATCAATTATAAATATATAGAATCATAGATCATGCCTCCCTATAAGTAAATAGCAGAGGTTTTAGTCAAAACAAAAGTGTATGTAGACCAATTTCAAGTTGCTTGTCAGAAGAAAATTATAGAAAGATCCTTTATACTTAGTAAAGAATTCTAAAACAAAATATCTACCAAATCTGAGTAAAAAGGATAGATGTTTGAATTAATTAGGGTTACGTAAATAGCTAATTAAATAATATACTATGACTATATTTATGTATGCGTGTGTGACTTTGAAAATAGCCACATAATATCGTATGTTTTTATTATAATCGTATTCACACTTGAAAATTGGAGCATTTTGCGTTAGGCATATACTGTGTAGTCACTACTCATGTCATTTAAAAGTTCATGATTCTAGATGTCAATAACATTGGAATTAAAATTATATGTGGATTCACTTGACTTGTATCGTAATTGATACAAAAAATTTAAAAGTATTTTTTTGATCTACCTAAATTGTTGAGTTATCCTTCGCGGTTTTGTCCTCTTATACATATATATTTTTGGATATTTTTCATCTTTTGAATTAGTTTTTGTGGCTGAATCGTGTCTAGTCTAGTGTTCATTTTTTTAACAGGGCTCAGTCAATTCCTGTTTCATCCAATTTAAAATTTATCTACGTTTAAATTGACAGATTTGCATATGTTGAATTAGATGATATTGAATTATCCCGTATCAATGAATGCGAGCAAGGCAAATTTGTCTCATATTTAACAATTCTCATCTCTTTAAACTATTTTTTGAAATTGCTTAAGCTTGTTTCAATCTTATCTATTGAATAAATATATATTCATTAAAATCGACGAAATGCATCAAGCTAGCTGGGATACTACCATCATTTTAAAAAATATAGTAGTTTTGGAGAGTTCATGTGTGCCCAATTGTCCATTCTTATTTATTATTAAAAAAAATTAATAAATCGATATCCATCATAAATTAGCCCTAGCCAAATTAAAGTATTGTCATATATTTTAGTTAAAAAGGAAAAGGTAATAGAATACGTAATAGATTAAAAGTTTTGTATGTGTCATTTAATTAGGAGAACTGAGAAGTACGTAATTGTGGATTAAGAGCACTTATTACTTATTAGTGCTGCATTACCTACTTGGTTGAAGTCTAAACCAACCTAATTCATTTAAAAAAGAATTATCTATATAAATACTTTAGTAATTTAGCTAGGTGTTATCTACTCCAAATATATATCTTTCTTTATTGCCATGCAATAGAAAATCAAAATTAGAAGAAAGAGACTTTCCGTTTTCAGAGACTAATTTTTTTCAATAAGAAAAAGACCACAATTTTAATTTGATCTAATGAAAGCATGCATGAGAAAAAGAACAAATAGAAGTTCTAATATTTTTTTCTTAAAAAAAGAGTTGAGCTGAATCATGTGACTTGACCTAACCAAAAAATATTATAAAATCAATTTTCTTCAAACGTAACCTTTCGTCGTCCTAATAACTACATATCGAATGGGTTAACCATAACTCATATGGGATTATATCTTTTAGAAAAAATAATAAAAATTTAGATTAAATTTTTTTCATTTCCGTCTATGTGAGCCATTTGTTTACAAGTAGGGGCATATATGAGTCACTTTCATAACAAGGGGTATATCAGCTCTAAATGACAAAGTTGAGGGTATATCAGATCCTTTTCCCTTTTTTTAATATGTACGAGAGGTAAAAGTAATATTTTATTTTTAATATAATGAATTAATAAAAATGAACGCTTAAAATACACTGCTAAGTAACACACTATTTTAGAAAGTACTAGTTTAGTCAATAAATTTGAAATCTTGATTCAATAATTTAATGGCAGAATCTTCTCATAAATACCTTCCTCAGTTGTTCCTACGCAATTATTATTCTAACTTAACCTAAAAAAAATATTTTATTAAGAATCGATGGAACACAATTAATTAATCTTGTCTCCTTGACTATAAATTGAGATCAAGCTCTTCCTATAAATTTTGTTTAAACAATCCAAAAAAACATAATTGTGAAGAATGGATTGCTGGTCTACTGAAAATGCTACCAATGCTTTTCTCACAACTCTCAAAATGGTAAGTATCATTTGTTACTTATTATAATATAGCTCAATTCGATACACGTTTGAATTGAATATATGAATCCTTACTGTCCATGTTGTTTGTACAATTTGTATATATCTTCAAAAGTTATATACTAAAAAAAATATATGTTTTGAATTTATGGAAAATATAGGGTGAAAGAGGAAAAGCACCTGATGTAACGGAGTTTATATCAGCTATGGCGGGTGGAAATAATTCACAACTCATGGTAATGGCATGTACCGGCCACCCTGGATCCGCGCTACTAGGGTTAGTAGCAGCGGCTCATCAAACGGGTGGCCGGGTAGTGTGTATATTACGTAGCGACGAAGAAATGCATGCAATAAAAGAAACATTAATATTGGAAGACTATGCAAAAATTGTTGAATTTGTGATTGGTGATGATGTTAAAACATTATTGGCTAGTAACTATGAAGGAGCTGATTTTGTACTAATTGATTGCAAATTGGAGGATTTTCAACAAGTGTTTGAAGCAGCACAACAAGGTGTTAGTGTTAAAAGTGCATTTATTGTAGGGTACAATGCCCTACATGAAAGACATAAGTTAAGTTTTGATCACAAAGGTTATTTTCTACCAATTGGAGAAGGGTTATTAGTTAGTAAAATTAGGGTTTTAGAAGGTAAAAATAGTGGTGTTGGAAGGAGGAGTCATTGGGTTGTTGAAGTTGATGAATGCACTGGGGAGCAACATCTTTACAGGGTCAGCACTTCTCCAAATACAAATTAAAAGTACTATAATATGATGTTCGAGTCAGTTGATTTTGTTCACGCTTCGATTATCTCGCAAGATATTTTTGCATTATTGCATTAGGCGGAATTTATATGTACCTTGTACGTCTCACTTCGTTGACCGCTTGCTTTTGTTGTAAATATACATCCAATTTTCAATTTTCAGAGTAGTCTAGACTTTGTAAATAAGAAGGTAAATTGATAATTATAGTGTCTATAGTTGTTTGCTAGTACGTAGCTTTTTGCTTTTCTTTTTTTTTCCTCAAAAATACTTTTAAGTTGTTTTAATTAGCATTTCCTTTTAATTTGTTTATTTCTAAAATTAGCTAAAAAAATTTACGAAAAGTTGTGACTTTTATGAAAGATTGTGACATTTTTGAAAGATTGTAATTTTTTCAAAGATTTGTGAGACACAATAAACATTTGTTCACACTACTCTTTGTTGTCTATGAATAGAGAAATTTTCTCTCATTTTAAAACAAAGAATTATATGAACTACTTCTCTTTCTTCTTTTGCGCTATTAAATATTTGTGTATTTTGCTCATGTTGAGTGGCTCATTGACACCATTATTTTTGTATCAATACACTGGTAAATAGAAAAGTTTCATCATGAGGTGACTCATTCCTTTAAATCTCAAGTAGTAGAGGGGAATAATTTCTTTAGGGAGATACTGTACATTTAATGGGTCGATTTTTTCCTTTATGTTTTATTTTATTGTTACACATCCTGATATGTTTTCTTCAATCATTAATTTATGCTTATGATATAAATTTTCTTCAAACGTAACCTTTCGTCGTCCTAATAACTACGTATCTAAAAGATTAACCATAATTAATTTGGTGGAAGAAACATAAACATATAAAATATAGGAACAACTAATTATTTGGCATGTCACATCAAATCATTAGTTACCACTGTTAAGTGATTAAAAGAGCTAAAATTCCTTCCCTATTATTTAATGTAAAATATAATGTGTTACTAATTTAAAAAGTAAAATGGTTTTTTCTTTGATCATAATTTTCTTGAAATTTTTATTTTTTAATTATTAGCTATGTTACATTAAATGCTTTATAATTAACTTAGTATTTTAATGCTCATATCATGATCTACTTCATATAAATGAATTAAAATAGAAGAAAGAATGATTTTGAAAGTTGAATTAATCAAACGATCAAAGGATAAACTTTTCATTCAGAAACTTGTATATGGCATGCACTTATTGCTTCGTCGCATACATTATACAAATATAATTTTCAACCGTTTATTTTTATTTGTAATATAATAGATTTTACACTATTTTTAAGAAATATACATGAATAAAGTAAATATTTTATCATAATATCCATACTAATTATATGTAACTTTATTGGACTTGGAGAATGAATAAATAATTTTAAGGATTAAGCAAGAAAAAAATAATTATTTTTATATGTTAAAATAGAGAAGTAAAAGTGAATTTTTATTTTTGATATAGAAAATAGTAAAAAGGAAAAATTGTTTGAAATAGCAACTATTTAAATTAAACTAAATGTTATAGCACTGTATCATTTAATTCTATTTCACAATTCTTGTCATTCGATTGGATTTAAATATTATTATACATATACAATTGACAAAACTAACACAAAGAAGAACATATGCATATAAAATTTATGATTAATACAAAATTTTATTTTGATACAGATTTTATATATATAAAAAACGTACATATATACTCATATAAAACATATATAAATTATAAGTAACAAGAATTTGTATTTATTAAAAGATTACACACACATATATACAACAAAAAAAAAAAAAGTTATTGACAAGCATGGCATTGAGAACATATATTATATTATACTCATATGCAGTAGTTATCAGGCCCATAGGCTATAGATATTAGGCCCACAGGCATAATCACTTCGCCCGTAGGCCTACAGGCCCAAACCCTTGAAATTCAGAATTGGAAAAAGGGCAACTTTCACGTATAGCAAACAAAAAATTTATATTTGTTTGCTATAGCAAACTTTGCATAATTGCGCTCCATATCAAACATAAAATTGTATAATTTGCTATACATATACCAATTGTATAATTCGCTGGTCTAAATTGTATAATTCGCTGGACTATTTCGCTGCAATTGTATAATTTGTTTTGCATACAGTTGAATCGAATTAAAATGTATGTATATTGCATAATTATAAGTGTATAGCAAGAAGATATATGTTTTTCTCGCTTTATACAAAAACAGAAACACAATATATACACTTCTGTTGTATAAAGCTAGAGAAAATTGTATTTCACTGCAATTGTATAATTCGTTGGCCTTTTTCTCTACAATATTTGAAGTAAAATGTTTGTAAATTGTATAATTAAGTGTATAACACGAAGATATACATTTTTGCATTGTGTATATACAAATTTCTCTCGCTTTATACAAAACAGAAACAAAATTATACACTTCTGTGTATAAAGCGAGAGAGGCGAGCGAGAATGGAGAGTGGCGAGCGAGATTTTTGAGAAAGAGACGCTGGCAAATTTTAGCTAATGTTTGCTATGGAGCACAATTAAATCAAACCCTAACTATTCCATTTAATTTAGGTTATTAGTTTGCTATTATATACCATTTTTCCTTGGAAAAATTACATAAATTGGTACATTCTAATATTACTGATTTTAGTGATACTTTTTATTTATTACCATTTATAGTAATTTTTTGTAAAATCTGCAATATGAATTGAATGTGAATTATATATGCAATATATATGAATTATAATTGTTTTTTGAAATATATTATGTTTGTATGGTAACAATTTTGACATATTGTATTATAAATATATTAAAATGTGTGAAAAATGTATTATCTATCATTAAAACTTGTATTATATGTGAATAATAAATTATTCTTTGTAATATATATTAAACTTGTATTATAAATGAATTATAACTGTTCAAGTGAAAAAAATTATTATTATTATAAATGATAAATATTTTTTTGTTATAGTATATTTATGTAAGTTTTGATCATCAAATGTGGAATGCGTCGGTTAACGTTGCACTGTGTGAAATAGACAAGTTGCAGCAGAGAACACTCCACTTACAAAAATAATAAATCCGTCCAAATTCAATAATTGTTTTAGGTTAAAAATTAATATTTTAATTTTTTTTTACAAAAATAATTAAAGCTTATTTGTTTTAGGTTATATTTTATTTAAAAAAAGATCAACCATGTAATATATAAGAGTTGATTGACATTAAATTAACATTTCAAGCATAAAATTATATTTCCTTCGTTTAAAAAAGAATGACCTAGTTTGATTTGAAACGAATTTTAAGAAAAGAAAGAAAAAATTTGATATGTGGTTCTAAATTAAAGTTATGCCAAAAGTATCAAAATGTCCTTTAATCTTGTGGTTTTAAATATGTCAGGTGAAAAATTAAAATTAAAGTATTGTCAAAAAAGGAAAATAGTCATTCTTTTTTAAACAAATCAAAAAGGAAATAAAGATATTTTTTTTGAAACGGAAAGTAATTATTTTGTATTTTGCTGCCTATTTACATGGGCGGCTCTACAACTTTGTAGCCTTAGACTCCCAAATTTGAGGGGTCTCATTTTTTAAAAAAATTAATAAGTTATAAGTCTTTTTTTAAAATAATATCGAATATTATTTATAGAAAATAATTTTTATATATTAAAAACTAAAGAAGCAATAAAATTTTGATAAATTATGAATACTTATATCTCAAGAAAAATTAAATTATTAATTATAATAAACTTTATAAAAATATATATTCAAATTTAAAAAAATATATATATTCAAATTTAATTTAAATTCTTGGTTTGAATTTGACTTTAGTAGAGCTGCTCCGCCTATTTACGTAGTTCCCATATTTTTACAGTCGTTATAGCCCAATTACTGACAAAATCCACACATCAATCCTTTGTAGCAAATTAACACACACTTCACTCTTTATACATATCTCAAGAAGAAAGAATTCAAAGCACCAAAACTGATGCTTCTTGTAGCAAATTCAAGTCAATCATGGAACTTAGCACACCCAACACTGACTTTCTCCCAGAAATGCAAAACACAACAGGACATTGATCAAATTCATGCTCAATTGATAACCACAGGACTTGTAAAATATCCATTTCTGACCACAAAACTTATCTTGAAGTTATCTTCTTCCCCTCACACACCCATCGTTGAATTTGCCCGGTTTCTCTTCTTTTCGGCCGATTTCTGTTGTTCAAAGCGAAATATAAAAGACCCATTTCTCTGGAATGTGATAATGAAGTCATTTTCACATGGAAATGACCCACATAAGGCTTTTCAAATGTTCTGTTTGATGCTTGAAAATGGGGTTTTTGTGGATGAGTATTCTATATCTATAGTTTTGAAAGCGTGTTCCAAAATGGGTTTTATAACGCGAGGAATGCAGGTTCATGGGTTATTGAGGAAAATAGGATTTGGGTCTGATGTGTTTTTGCAAAATTGTTTGATTTCCATGTATGTAAGGTGTGGGTTTGTTGAATATGGTCACCGCGTGTTTGATAGAATGTGTATGAGAGACTCTGTTTCGTATAATACAATCATTGATGGGTATGTGAAATGTGGAATGCTTGATGTTGCTTGTCGTTTGTTTGATTTTATGCCAATAGAGATGAGGAATTTGGTTTCTTGGAATGCTTTGCTGACTGGGTACGTCAAATTGGATCAAGGGTTTGATGTTGCTTGGGAGCTGTTTGATAGAATGCCCCAAAGGGATTTGGTTTCTTGGAATTTGATGCTTTATTGTTGTGTTAAAAGTGGAAATGCTGAAAAGGCTACTGCTTTGTTTGACATGATACCGAAGAAGGATGTTGTTAGCTGGGCAATAATGGTTGACGGGTATGCAAAAATCGGCAAGATTGATATTGCCAGACGTTATTTTGATGACATGCCTGTAAGAGATGTGATTTCTTGCAATGCTATTATGGCTGGGTATGTCAAGAATGGCCACTGCCTTGAAGCATTAAAAGTGTTTCATGATATGTTAAGTGACAGTAGTCCTGCTCCTGATAGTACCACCGCGTTGCTTGCGCTTTCTGCAGTTTCAGAGTTAGGTTATATTGACGAAGGGATTGCACTGCACTGTTATATAGAGGAGAATGGGTTTCCTGTGGCTGGAAAGCTTGGTGTAGCTTTGATAGACATGTATGCAAAATGTGGCAGTGTAGATAGTGCAATGGGTGTGTTCAATGACATCCAAGAAAAAAACGTCGATCACTGGAATGCTATGATTGGTGGTTTGGCTATTCATGGCTTTGGGGACCTAGCTTTTGAATTGTTCATGGAGATGGAAAGACTTTCACTAGATATAGATGATATCACATTTATCGCGGTTTTGAATGCTTGTGGTCATTCTGGACTGGTTAAGGAAGGCATGATCTGTTTTGAGATTATGAGAAGGGCACATCATATGGAACCTAAGCTCCAGCATTATGGATGCATGGTTGACGTCCTTAGTCGAGCAGGGCATGTAGAAGAGGCCATAAAATTTGTCGATGAAATGCCCATCCATCCTAATGATGTAGTTTGGCGAACATTGCTAAGTTCATGTAGGAATCAAGAAAACGTCCACATTGGAGACCCAATGGATAAGCAATTAGTTGGACTAAATTCTCATAATTCAAGTTCCTACGTGCTTTTGTCTAACATATATGCTCAATTTGGTAAGTGGGACTATGTTAGAAGGGTTCGAACAATAATGAAAGAAAAGGACCTGAAGAAAACTGTTGGCAGCAGTAGGATTGAGCTCCAAGGAATTGTCCATGAGTTCTCTGTGGGAGACAAGTCGCATGATCAAGTTGAGGAAATCTATTCCACATTACAGATGGTTTGTGTATAGCTGTGAGGTCTCTCCTTCGTGATCGAGGAGTTCACCTCCATTCAGGAATCCAAATTTAACTAGTCATTAGCATCTTTTAGCTCTGGACAGGGAAATTATTTAAAGCTGTCCCTCTGTAATTAGCAAAGCACCAGGAAAAACAATCCTGCAATTTGTAAATTTTTAAGTCAATGTATCTAATAAGAGAAGTTCGAAATAGAACTGCAGTTAAACACTCTTTTACCTTCTTCAAACTCGTATGTCTGAAGTTGATTACTTACAATTTCTTAGAACTTCCCCTATGCCTTAAACAATGATTCTCAAACTATTTATCAATGAAGGATCTAAAATGATCAGATATTATTTCAGAATTACCAAGTTGGAATCCTACCAAGGTTTACTATTTCAATTAGGACATACACAGGTAGGTGAATTTTTCAAATTACAGTGAGGCAAACATGTGTAGCCACCCCTATACATGATATCAACTTGAGTAGGAAACTAGAGTTAGCCTGCCAAAGAAAGTCATATTATTCCAATAGGCTACACCTATGAATTTCCTTAGCCACCATAGGCTCCCACTCCCAAGAATTATTTTAGCTCATAGTGATAAAAAAAAAAAAAAATCATACTGCAATTATTAGACATTTTCTTTTTTTAGTTCGTCTTTATCTTCCCCTGAGATACCTACGATTATAAAAATATTTAAGATTTGTTTTTGGATCACAAATTTCAAGTATTTTTTCTTATTTAAATATTTTTTTATCTAATCAGATAATGTCACATAAATTGAGACAGAAAGGAGCCCCGCCCCTACAGTATGATTAGTAGGAGGTCCAAGAGAAGGGTGACAACTTTGCCAAGGACAAGAAATACTCACAGGCAACTCAAGAGTAGAAAGTGGTGGAAGATAAAAAGTAGCTTCTCTGGTCAGTGGTCACGAGAGCCTATCTTCGTATTAAAATATTAAAATAGCTTAACTTCTATACACTAAAGATAACTGTCTATTATAAGTGGAATTTGTTAGCTGAAAATAGCTAAAATTTTACATTGTATACAAGTTAAATACAAACTAAACGTGTATTATTTCCTGTTCTTGTTTCGTAAAGAATGAAAACCACATAATCAAGTTTGTGAACTTCACCCTTGGATGATGGACATTATGTACTTGTTAGTTCCAGCCAACACTTTATACTTATTTACTTGTTTGGAAATTTGTGGTGGTGGAATCAAACGTCAGAAGATCACATGTTTGGGATTAGAAGAATTTGGATGTTAGCTAAAGTAAGAAGTTGTTTTGCCATCTTGACTTTGGTTACATCATATTCTGGAGAGTAAATTGGACCATTCTGTATGATCAATTTGGAGTGCTTAATTTGACATATGTCCAAAATTTATAGCCTAGGATACTCCATTTATCTATATATTCTCTTTATTTTATTTTATTCCCTTTTATTTGATTGCAGATGGGGTAGAGTTACTGTTTTTTGTTGTATTTCATATGATTTTGTGTTTTCTACTTCTTGATAACAAGAAAGGGTGAAATGTGACTGTGATCGCTTTGTTATTAACTACATGACTTGTACTATGAAGGTAGTACTCCATTAGCAAGAGGTCATATATGAACTAAATAGAAATTGCACTAGCTTCTGGTACACTAGTTTGCAAGTGGAGAAGACTTGCTTAGAATTATGGTTAAGTTACATAATACAAGAGAACTGATCACTTGAGGCTAACCTACGTCAACGTGCATTAGTACTTACTTAACTATATAGAACAGGCGCCTGACATTCATGTGTCCTCCTCAAGCACAAGTCATGCAGGATCAAAAGGATGGGAAAAGGTGGCATCAGTAAGAAATTAGTATCAGGCTCCTAATGGTCATTTGAGAATTTGGATGTTGTTGCAATAGCTTTCACGACTTGCTGAAGGTTACATCATTCAGTTCTTGCATGACTATTTCAATGTCTGGCCTCTGATTTGGTGACTCGTGCGTGCAAAGTAGAGCTACCTTTGCCATCTGAACTGCCTCAGCTTCAACAAAGTTTCCCCAAAGATTTGGATCAATGAAGTCTTCAAATCTGCACAACTCTGCCCCTTGATGGTTAGAAGGGGTGATTTTACATCTTCCGGAGAGAACCTGAAATATGATCATGCCAAATGCGTAGAGATCACTCTTTTCGGTAAACCTGCCAGTGGTTGTATACTCTGGAGCTAGGTAGCCCATTGCAGCACTTTCCTTGAGTGTTGAGAAGACAATGTCATCTGCTAGTAGTTTGTGCAGACCTGAATCCGAGAGCAATGGGTTGTAGTGTTGATCGACAAGTACTTTTTCAGCTGATATATTTCGATGGACTAGAGCAGGTTTGCCTCCCTTGTTTCCATGCAAGTAATGAATACCTGTTAACAATAGATAACAGATGTTGTTATTCAAATCTGGTGTCAAAGAACTATAATGAAAACATCAAACATGAGACAATAATCAAACAGTAGCTCACCTCTGGCGATGCCTTTGATTATACGAAGTCTGGTAGACCAATCAAGAACCTTTCCTTTTCCATCCTTCACGTCAAGGTACTGCAACAAATTTCCATTTGGGACGAAATCGTAGATCAGAAAGCATTCCCCCCTACCTTTTGAACAGCAAAACCCTCTCAATCTCAAAAGATTTTCATGGTTCAATGAGGTTAAGAGTTTTAGTCCCTTGAGAAATTCAGTTTCATCTGACTTGCAGCTAGTCTTGGAAATGCACTTAATAGCAACAACAGACCCATCCCTCAATGTCCCTTTATAAACAGCTGTGAAATTACTCTTTCCTAACAAGTTTGCTTCTGAAAAGTACTGTGTAGCTGACTCAACTTCATCCAAATTGAACATAAAGCTCTCAAATACTTCCTGAGAGAAAGCACTTCCACCTCGGCCTTTCCCTAGAGGATCCCAGCCATTGGAATATTCCAGGCTGATGAGGGGCGACGCGCTTCTTCTAGAAATCTCCTTCACCTCATCAGTACTGAGTCGCCTATCGGAGGTATCAAGAGTACCTCCAATTTTCTGTTTCCTTCGACGGTACAGCGAAAATGTGAAAAGTCCAGTTACAGCTACTGCAACAAAAAGTGCAATAACACCAACAACCACAGCAGTTTGTGATTTTCTTGACTGACTCGTTTGTTTTGTTTGTACATTTGCAGACTCTGGAATGTCTTTTGTGGGGAGACGATTCGAACCAGGTTCAAATGGTTGTGGTCTGTTTTGGTTTAGACTAGATACAGTGCAGAGTTTCAAGGAAGAAAATTCAATTCCACACAAGTCAGGGTTGTTTGCATACTGAAATCCTTCATTCAGTCTCTTCAAGGCTTCATTTCATTGATTGCCCCAAACAAAAAGACCAAAAAGAGAGTTAGTTCTACTATAATGTCTAATATTAGTAAACATTTGGATTGGTATTTGGGGGAATCAGAAAACCTAAGATTTCTACATTTCATAAGCATATTAAGCAATGAAATAGGGTTAAAGGTACCATCAAGAAAATCAAATAGAACTACCTTGAGGGACATTGCCAGAAAGGGTATTATTTCTGATATCAAGAACTTCTAGCTTTGGAGCATCCGCGAGTTTCACTGGTATAGACCCGAAAAGATTATTGAAGCTCAAGTCAAGCCTGGTCAACATCTCCAAATCCCCCAAGCTTGCAGGAATTGCTCCAGTTAACTGATTGACTTGCAAAGCAAGAACACTGAGTTTCTTTAAAACCCCAAGTTGATTAGGTATACTTCCAGTCAACTGGTTATAACATAGTTGCAATACTGTGTAAAATCAGAAAACAATCGGAGCTCAGCTACTTTTATTTGAGATTCATTCCACCAAAAATTGCAGAAAAAGCCACCCAAACAAGAGACTAAGAAATTTGCAAGTTTGACAGGAAAATTAAAACTTTCTTCAAGTATTAGCCCATATTGAAGCTCAAATCAATAAAGAAAGGAACAAATGACACAGAAAAGCTTAACATAAAACCAAAGGTAGAGGCTTTTTCAAGTGTTTCACGTTCTAAGCACCTAGCTGTAAGCTACATAGGAACAAAAATCACCCCATAAAAGATACTTCAAGAAACCTTTTTAATATGGACTTACAATGCCTAATGAGTACTAAAAATCAAATCTTTTTTCAAGAAAAAACATAGGCATTGTGAAATTACTCAATAACTAACAGCATTATCACTTCTTGGACTGCTACCCATTTCATTAATAGAGCTATAGATCTATTTGGCAAAGTTCAAACACCCATTCAAATAAACTCAAAACTAAGCATCATCAAGACTGAGGCTTTTTACCATAACTAACCAAAACAACAAAGCAAAAAAGAACCTACCTTGAAGACTAGACATGTTGCCAACCTCAGGAGGAATAACACCGGAGAGATTATTCACATTAAGATACAAATCCGAGAGCTGAGTTAAATTAGCAATTTCTTTAGGTACAACCCCATGTAGCTTATTAAAGTGCAAGTACAATCCAGACAAGCTCTGAAGCTGACCAATCTCAGGTGGAATTTTTCCAGTAAGATCTTTGCCTTGCAAAGAAATGTTAACAACTTGACCAAGCTCATTACAAGCAATACCTTCAAAAGAATCATTGCATGGGTCAGTAGAAGTAGGTGACCATGATGAAAGAATGAGGCTTTTTGGGTCCAAAGAAGCTTTGATAGTCATAAGCAAAGATAAAGATGTTTTAGTACTATCATTTATGGTTTCAGAAGAAACTCTTTGTTGTGGGAGTGTTAGGATTAGGATGAAAAGGAAAATGGAAGAGAGAACAGAGAGAAAACCCATTTTTGGTTTTTGCCAGAAAAATGGATGGAAAAGTTTGTAGGGAAAGTTGGTTTTAAGTGACAAATTTCAAGAAAGGAATGTTGGCTTTAGTGTGAAGAAGATATATTGCAATGTGTAGTGATAAAATAATAAGAAGAAAGAAGAATCCAATTTGAATCTTGGTAACTGGTATAACCAGTAACCTGTAACTAGCTAGCTTGGGAAATAACAAAAGAAAAAATTTTGAATCAAATTTGTCCGTTGATATGAAATTTTAAAAAAGAATAAAAATAATTTTTTGAATCGTATATTCAAAATATTAAAGGAAATTAGGATCACCATAATCTCTAAAAATTGAAAAGGTGAAACTAATTATATAACTTGGAACGAAAGAAATACTTAAAAAAAAAGACAAATTTACATTAGAGTTGTATATGAAAGATTGGTTAAATAATTTTTTAACTAATAATAGAATGACATGTAAAATAAAAATGGAAGAGTTGATAAGGTTATGATTTTCCTTATGAGGATGAACAAAAAGGTTTCGAGGGTACTAAAGTTTGGGAATTATTCATTTTTATGTCTTCTTTTAAAATTTAATAAAGTCAAAAATAATGGAGGACTACTGTCTTCTGACTAGCAGTAAGGAAGTACTGGTACTTCTCATAAATGTGTATATGTATGTAAAGGGAACAGGTTAGGTTAGTTTTTGAATTTTAAAAAAAATTATTGCTCAAGGCATTTAATACCTCTGTAATTTTAAAATTTCTACAGTAAATTATAAATATATCTTTCATCACATTGTTCTATGTAGGCATAATATATGTAAGATGTCATGTATGACATAAAATTGTGATGTAGGAGGACGTCATGTCGGACGAATGTGTCCTATATATAAGTGTGGTCTTTTTATGCATATTCAAAATTAAAAATTATAGTTATCAACTGAAATTAAATTAAAAGTCATGTTCATATATTATATTTTTTTTACAACTATTTCTACATATATTGTTAACTATATAATAAGGTGTAGTACTGTAGTTCTTATCAATCTTATAAAAGCTATATAATAGTTACTGACTGAAATCAATATAAATTGCACCATATGTTAAAATAAATTTGGTCTAAGAAAAAACAAAAGCATCACATGGAATTAATTACCTACAACTGATGAAATCAAGTCCAATAAAGAGTTCCTATAACTCTTTTCTTTATTAGTTTATATATATACTAGTTTTTTTTTGGCTAATTTCAAATATTTTCATTTTTAACATATTTCCACTGACCGGGGAAAGTGGATATTTCTTCTTTTTAATATATCTAGCAAAACAAAAAAATTATAATCATATACATATAACAAAACAAAACTAAGGGAATCTTAGCAGAGATTAAAAGAAAAGAAAAAAAAAGTTCTGATATGAAAAAAACAATTAACACAGAAATATATAAACAAGCATGGGTTGGGTTGTTTTCAGGATTTGACTAGAAATTACAAGAAGACAAAATATAATTAGTAGTAAATTAATTATGTTCAGTAAAGGTAATCACATGAAATATTTTTTCTTATTTTGGTGAATAAAAGTTTATGGGATAGTCATTTTCATGTTTGGAAGATATTGTGTCTATATTGACAATTCTTTTCCAATGCCTACTTTGTGGGAAAAATAAAAAAGAAAAAGGAAGAATGATGGAGTAAAGCATAGAAAAGGACCCATGACAAGGTATAGAATTGAAAACATATATATATATATATATATATATAATAAAAGCATGCAATATTATTTATATCCATAAAATCTAAACACTATAAAAATATTCATAAATTTGGTATAAAATTATTGTGTTTACAAAGAATTATAAATAGTACATCATTCAAAGTCATTACATAAATTATAGTCACATCTACCCCCAAGAAAATATAATTGACATAACTAATTTCAATATTTTACGCATTAGAATACACTATAATCTGATGAAAATAATGATTTTTGGTAGGTTTTAAAAAATTTAAGGACTCATCTATATTTCATCCCAAAAATAAATTTTTTGTAGATTTTGAAATTTTGGATATTTTGTCAAAATAAAAATTTCAAAAGAGAATAAATTCCAAGGCTAAATTTTTTTTTGCCAAAACAAAATTCAAAAGTACTCGCAATATTTATAACCAGATAAATTTTTAACTACTTGTTTATTATATTAAATTTATATTAGTATCGTATTAATGAAATTATATTACCATCGATATACGAATAGTATATTGATAGTAATATAATTTTATTAATAGTTAGTTATAACATACTTTTTTTACATGAAGGGATGGAAAGTATATTTTGGAGTTTATAAAAGGATCAAAAGTAAAACTTATGAATAACTTTTAAGAATCAAAATGCTATTTCCCTTTATATCACTCATAATCAATAGTCTAATGGAAATCGAAACTCTCTGGCTCGTGTCTAATATTCATTAATCAAAAATAAAAGAATCTCATAATTACATCACCAATTAACATTTGAATTGTTGTGAGCGAAGATTATTTATATTTGAAAAAATCACAGTAGAAAGAACCTCTAAAGTTTAAACAGACACATAATTTTAAAAAGTCAAACATGTTACGAGAACTCAAAAAGAATGACCTAAAGTTTAGAAACGAAATGTTATGTTGCACCATGCTACTTTTGTTACAAGCACATGTCAAAGAAATTATACTTTGTATAGAATTGGAAACACTATCTAGGCCTAGCAACAAGCAATGTGAAAAATAAAAAGCAAAATGAGAGTGATGTATCACTAATTCAACAAAAGTATGAACTTCCAAGCTACTTTTTGTGAAAGTGGAGGAGTAGTGATTGTCTTTTTGGTTTGGCTTTCACATATAAGTTGATAGTAAAAAGTGAAAAAGAAGGTGTTGCTGGTGTATTGTCCTTACCAACCACATAAAAACACAGCTTGTGAATGCTATATCCATTATTCCACATTTGAACTTGTGAATTCTATATTAGTATGTTCTCAAAGCGACATGGTAATTGGAATTGGCGTAATTATTAAGATAGTAATTATCAGTTTATTAGTAATTACACTGACATGTTTATCTATTTCAGTGTAATTACACATGTTCTGGTTGAATGCGCGATAATAAAATTATATTTAATTTTTAAAATAAAAAATAATTATTTAAAATTTATAGCAGACAAATAAGAAACTTTTATTAAATTAAATATTTAAGATATATATTTTTATTTTGAGAATATATCAATTAATAAACATATGTTCTTAACTAATATTATGAAAAAATAATTGATTTATTTTTTTAAAAAATTAATACATTTTAATTGAATTGATCATAAAAACTAAAAGTACGTAGTTTCTACAAATTCTTGAAATGCATGTTTAGTAAAAAAAAGATTAATATATAAATAAAATGTCTAGTATTAAAATGTTTGACAAAAAAATAATCTATCAAGTCTAATTAATAAACAACTTACAATGTGAATTCAATATTATCAAAACAAATTAAACTCAAAAATAATATAAGTTATAAATTCAAACAGAAAATTAATGTAAACTTCAGAAACTTTTAATATAGTAGTAAAAAAACATAAAATAATAGAAGTAAAAAAAGATTAAAACAAAAAATAAAAAGTAATCCATTGGTAATTATTACCAATCATTCACATATTTTTAGTAAAATTGAAGAGTGTAATTAATTATGTTAATTACATCAATTATCTGTATACTAGATAATTATTTATACAATCAAACATAATAGACAATATAATTATATACAATTACACTAGATAATTATTTATACAATCAAACGTAATAAACAATATAATTATATACTATTACACCAAATTTAATTATCAAACACAGTACAAAGAGGCCCTGTGTATTGCATTATTTCAAATTTTATGATGAAATTACAACTTTTTGGCTCTATAATCAATGTACTACCCACCAACTATTTCACATTTAATAGATGGCCAAACCACTCCTCATTTGTAAAAAATAAAATAAAATTATCTGCACTTATTATTTACATCATATTGTAATAATTTATATTATTGGTTAGATGAGAAATTAAGATTTAGAGCATGTATTAATGAAGTACTGTTTAGTAATAGTATACACAAAGATATGTATCATATATTCATTAAATGTACGGGATAAATTTTATTATGCGTTCATCTCATCTTCAATCTAATCCATTATATGACGAAATGATAAGTTATACAACTCTTCTACCTCATTTAAGAATAGTGAAGATGTTGATGACTAATGAAAGTAAAGAGTTCGATATATTGAATTGACGTGTCATTTTGATTAAAAATGGATAAGTTAACTGAAAAAAATGATAAATTTGAATCATTCTTATTCTTAGAACATTAAAAATAAAATGATATTATAAATAATGAACTATGTATAAATTCAAATGAAATTTAGATGTGACCTATGACCTAAGAAGAAACACAATAATGGTTATTGTACAGCAATTTCCATTAACTCTATTTTTACTTTTTTTTTTGTCAGGGGAGAAGTGATACCAGCAGTCCTCTCATGTGGATTCACAGTTGGGAAAAATTATGATAACTTTTTTGGGGGCCTAAAGAATTTTGTATGGTATCTCTAGTTTTTTGTTTTGTTTTGGTTGTTGGACAAAATAATAGTAGTATTAAAGGAAAAAAATATTTAAATGTATTCATGTATTGTTCAAAATTGGTTAATTTTGTACTCTACTTATATATGTTTTTCTTGGTTCATTCATAATTTTAAGAACTCCCATTATATATTTTCCTTTGTGATTATACTAATGGAAAAGAAATGAAATCTTTAAAGAAAAAATAAGATACGTAGTTTACTAATGGACGAACGTTACAAGTCCAAAATCTCTAAAGGAAAAAATAATACATAGTTACTCTTTGATTGAACGTTGCTATAAATTGAAGACGAAAAGTGATTTTTCTAATCGAATTAAAAAAATGAAAATAACGAAGTATGAAATTGTTTGTTCTTGAATGATGCTAAGGGTAAATTTGATATTTTTTCTAATAAATAAAAATATCTTAGTTGATGACAAATGAGAATAGGTACAAAATAAAAACACTATTTTTTGGGGTATAATGAAAG